GTGGTGATAAGACAAGAAGACTAGACAAATGACAATTGTTGTACGGTAGAAAGACGCCCCAAATATGACCTTTATGCTTTTTTTTTTAGAGCCTAGTGCAACAGATATGTAGCACGATGAAAGTATTCCACAAATGTCTAATTCACCGATGAGAAACTACCACAAGAACTTTTTCCTAAAATGATATGCAGTAGCGATGACACAGTTACCCAAATTATAGTTTCTCATAAAGTGTTGGTAAGCATGCCACGTTAACGCAAGTGAATACAGCATCGAGTATTTAAAACAAACCAGATACGGTGAACATTCGACCTATGGTGCAATCTCGGAACGATTCCACTCCTTTTTCCTATGCTTTTGGCAGCCATTAGTTGTGTGCGACTCGTCAAAGCACACCTCGCGCACGCTTTGACTAATCGCACATGCGCTTCAATCAATCACACACGGCTAATGGCAGCGAAAAGCATCGAAAAAAAGAATGGAATCATTCCGAGATCACACCCCTACATAGGTTTTATAAGCTGTAGAATTCAACCACATGTGTGCATTAATAATGTGGACCAGGTAGTCGAAATTCCGATGAGCCACGGTATTCTACAAATGTGGCCATGCTGAATTGATTCAAGAAATGTTGCACCCGACATGGCCCCATATGAGAGCGTGTTTTCTTTATTTATTGCTTGCACTCTTTAAATGTTTCAGCTGTATTTTCAAGGTAGCCTCATAACTACTGAGCTCACAATGTACAATAGCAAGCAGTGCTGCAATGCATACACAATGACTGAAAACAGAAAAAAAAAAAAACAATCACCACCGAATTTCATGTTGAGAAACCCCTTTTTACATGAAATATGGAACTAGGGCGAACATACATAAAGTACATTGCAGTAAAAGCTTGTTGATTCAAATTTTGCGGGACCAGAAAATAAGTACGTATAAACGGAACTCTGAATTATCAAAAAATATCAAGAAAAAGAAAACAATGAACAAATTTCCATAAGTACATCAACACACTGCCTTTATAGGTGGCATGAAGGCCGCAGTTTTTCAGCACAAGAGAGGCGTGAATTCCACAATTTTCATCATCTTGCAACTTCATTTTCAATGCTACCATGATGTTAGACTGACATGCTTAATTAGCCCAAAACGTGCTCTGCACCACTTCCTTGTTACGAACCGTCATAGACATGTGACGATAGTTCTTTCATGGTTTAATTTGCCAGCAACTAGTTGTTTGTTCGTAACGATGCAACAGACGGCTTTTATGCCAGCACAGCGACTGCAGCTGAAAGCTCATCCGCTTCAACAGCTTCTGCCATGTTTTGAGTTTTGTACGGTTGCGCACACATTGCATCCAGTTAAAACAAAGCTGTATGGTGCCGGGTTCGTATGTGTAGAAAACCGTGGTCACTAAGCAATGAAGATTGTTGTCACTAACCGATCATTCATGGTCACTAACCAATCGCTCCAGTTTTCTGTAAACACCGTTTTCACTCTGTTGAGTCGTTCTGCACTAAGTAAGCTTCAGGTATCGTCCGAATAAACTGAGTTGAGTCCATACGTGACCAAATTGACATTAGCTCAATTTTATTAAACAATGCATGTATGGTGGCTGGGTGCAGAAAACACGTCCAAATTATCTGATTTTCCTCAATTATGAAGGTCAAATGAATGAGGTTTTAGGCTTCAACTGTGCATGAGGTTTCTCGGATGGATAGTGTCAAACATAATGTGCCTGCTATAATCTAGTAACATCAGAGGGTGCAAGGTATGCATCGGCCCACTTAATGTTGAGGAGGTGAACAGCATGCTTCTTTCGCAAGCCCAGTCATTCAAGCTTTAGGCATGCAATGTTCCCCATCGGTGCATGTGCCGCACATGCTCTTCCCACGCGAGTGCCGCACCCCCTTGTGAGAGCTGTAAAAAGCACTACCGCCTATCGTTCCTAATACAAATGACCACAAATTCTTGCCTCACAGGGCAGCACCGCAGCACCTGGCGTATCAAAGGTAACACATGTGACTGGACTTCTCAGTGGCATCAGCCATCAAAAAAATTTAAAGGCTTCTGCTGAAGGTGCTCACAATCCTCAAGTTTACGTGTTTTGAAGTCCCGAACTGTATGATCCTGGGCAGGAGTCTCAAACTCATCTTGGCTAGCGGGCCACAATCAACAAAACTTAGTCGCACAAGCGGCAGAACGGTGAAAATTGGCGAAGCAGAAGAAAGGGGGTTGGGGGAGCATCTAGTGTTGCCGTGGAAAAGAACACACTGTCCGTATCCTATATACGGGTCATATCATATTTGAAGAGGATTTAACGTTGGACATGGAGCAAAGATACTAATATTGTTCAGAAGTGTTGTAGCTCGGGTGAGTTGGTCGGCACCTACCTTCCTTTTTTCGTCTCTGTCCCGTTTCCTTCCTATACGTATCGGGCTAATACAAGCCAAGTTCATATCGATATTGATCCTCAGTGCGACTAAAAATCTGAAGTAGAGTTTTTCTTCCACAGTGACGTTTCAACACATACTGGTCAAGGGTCACAAAAGCATAGTCCAAGGGTTGCATGTTTGAGATTCTCGATATAAGGTACGGAAGTGAGCTACAATATATAGTCCCACCACTCAGTCTAGAAAGCGGTTGAGTATGTATGGCAACTAAGAACAAACAAACACAAGTCATTTCATTCACATTCCGACAGTTGTAATTGCAGAGATTGCACGACGTAAAAAGAAGCGAAAGTAAAACGAGGAAACAGGGCCACGGTTTTCCACTGTGCAGCGCACAACCATGCACCGTCATCCCGAGTGCCGTGCAAATTCTGCATGGTCCTTGGCCACTTGAAGCGGCATATGTGTTTGAGCCGTTTTTTTTTTCACTCTGATGCCAGACGACTTGGCAGAGAATCTATTCAATGTGGCGACAGTGCGAAAAATGCCGAGGCAAAGCTGGCAGAAACAAGGACTTACCTTGGTAGCACGATCGGCGAGGTGGGTGCACCAGCATAACAATGCCGTTTTGGGTGCTCGCACATTCAAAGATCCAACAAGAGATAAGACATACCGCGACAACTTTTAAGAGCAGAGCGGTTTCTGCCGACTGATAGCTTCCATTTCGCTCAGAGCTGGGCCACTAATTATTATGCATTCCCAGTGAACATGACCGCATTCCAAGCTTCGCAAAGTTCTGAGAAATCCGTGCAGTGAAGTAGCGTATGCAGCTCTTTAGTAAATTAAAGCACTCCTATCACTCACTACGCATTCAAGGTACTTCCATGCATTCTGCATTTGTGATAAGATCACACCCCCGAACGAGATGAGTAGGCCTGCAGTCCTCCTTCGTAAAAAACTCAGAAAAACATCTTTTGGGCTAGGCCTTAAAGTTTCGAAACGAAACATGCAGCGTCCACTAGGTGATGTGTTCCCTTAAGCCATTCAACGTGCATCTTCATTCAAGGCAGCGCTGAAGAACTTTGGTAACCGATTCCTGGTAAGGACCGGCAAGTCTAAAGTTGCTTCAAGCAAGTATGTTCTCCAATAATGAGCGTTGCTTTTGCAGCATGCCACTATATGAAGTGCTCTTTGATATTGATGGTGGCATGATTTCGTAAATCTCCTGGCACATTATATTTTAGCTAATATTTCATAAGTAACATTAAAGTAATCAACTCTCATGAGCAAAGAAAAGATGCTACTGCTTCAAATACTTGTGCAAAGCCCTGCATCTTGAGAGGCGCTAATAAAAGCAGAACATCGAAGAGTAAAAATAGAAATAACTAGTGCTGGCAGAGGTGCAAGACACCCTAATAACAATTAAAATCAAACATGCAAATAAATGTGTACTTCAAAAATTAATTCCAGGGCATTAGCAAGAATTACTTTGTCTTTCAAGCTACGTTAGTATGGTCCTACATTAAAGGCTCATTAATTTGAACTTTGTTATTTGAACTAACAGTTAATTTGAACTGGCAACCTGGTCCTAGCAAAGCCCTGCCTATTTCTACGGAAGAAAACTCTAGAAGAATCAAATGCATTGGTATTCAAAACAATTAATTCCAGTTGAGATGCCATGGTTTTCATCGTTCCTTGTCAACGTCAGCCCAGAGTAATCACGATGTATAGCAAAACTAAACTAAACCAAATTTACTAGAGATGCAAAATAGCGAAACAACAGCACTTCTCAGCAGATGTGAGTGTGGACACTGCTCTGGAGCTCAACTTGCAAACAATACTCGTGGAGATGCAACAGAAAAAACGATACCAAATGCAAACTGCTGGTTACTTATAATTTTGACAGCGTTATCTCTGCCATGTAAATAATCAAATAAACATGTCTTGTAACACGAATAGCACCATAAATTGAGACATTAAGGCTCACTGCTCCTAAGTGTGCATGTCAATGCTTGTTTCTGGCATATCACTGACTGATCAATTAATTTATGTCTGCTGTTAAAACTCTAAGAATCTAATTGATGAAATCACATGCCATAATCATATAGTAGCAGCACCTAATTCGAGATAGAGTCCAAAAGTGGCTTCTTTGGGCTCGGCCAGCACAGTGTGGTGAGATGTCTGTTCATTCTAGCCCTTGCCCACCAATTTCAACTCCACTTAGTTTGAACAATTATGTAGTTCCCTTCGTGTTCGAATTAATGAGCTTTTACTGTATATATCGATGCAGCAAAGTTAGTAAAATGAATAATCGCAGCAAGAGTCGCTGAACCTTTCCATGTGACAGCTTTTACTGGTTCTAATAAAAGAGCGGCCCGCAAAAAGCTTTCTGCTCATGTGGCAGCAGTACTTAATCGCAAATGACACCTCACATTTGCGCGAGGCATAAAAAGCCATTTGCATCTGGTTCATAAGTCTGCAACACGGCTTATTATTCTATAACATCGTGGATGTTTTGTTCGAAAGCCCGAGTTTCTCACTTGTGCCACTCCCTGGCGCAATAAAAATTACCGCCATAAGAGCATGCCATTCAAGTGTGCAGGAACTCACTCATTGTGTAGCCGTAGACATCCTCCTCTTCCTCCTCAGCGTCTGAGAGCTCTTCGCGTGTGATGCTTCCCGCACTGTTCATGTCGATCTATGAAGAGAAAGAAGAGACTGATTTGATGTACACTTTGTCATGATGTTACAATGTTATGGTGGCCCAACGTTATTCAGCGTCTGAAGCACTGAAGCAACACTTGCAACGTTGACTCAACTGTTGGTGCTACAGGGAAACTGGATGGTGTCATGTTGAAAATGGCACACGCACGCACGCACACACACACACACACACACACACACACACACACACACACACACACACACACACACACACACACAAAGAAACAGACAGACAGACAGCAAAATCTGATCAACCAGATAAAACGGGCAGCTAAGGCCAGTGGGGCCCTCGATTGAGACCTCTCCAATGAGAATAACTGATGTGTCATGATTTTTTTTCTGTTCTATTCTGTTCTCGCCTTGCCAATAAACGTCGTGGCAGTGAACTGCCGCCTCTACTGTTATGTTTCTTTGTGTCCGTGTTTTTTATTATCACCGAAAAGTTTTCGTAAAAGATGAATTTTCACCAAGTAGCTCAAACAAAGATCCGGTGCTAGTATTTGTTTCTCCATTTGTGGCTGCGGCGATGACGTGCACTAGAAGTTTCAGAACGACATGAAGTTTTAACTAGTCTGTGTAGGGATTCATCATTGAAATACGGTGTGCGTGTAGACCCAAACACACGGAAAGAAAAAAAACACAAAGGCTGGTCATGCAAAAGAATGGCCGCTCAGAGAGCGGCAGTGGGGGAGCGAACACGCTAACGCAAATGCCAATGCCTGCAGTGTCCCCATCGAGCACTCATTGTCGTAACCACTCGTAACTACTCGGCTATCTATTCATAACCACCAGGGTGTCGTAACCACTCGGCTCTTCAGGCACACTAACATACAAAACAAGCGATTACGGGAAGCATACGATTGTGTTGCAATGGGCGGGATAGCGAGATAAGTACAGGGAGAAATAGATAGAGGAAGAATGAAAGCGACAGAAAGGAAAAGGTAAGTGTGGGACAGCCAAGTATAGTATTAGGGGTGAAGCAGCTGAAGGGCAAAGCTTGACCATTCGCTATGCGTCAATGCGCACGGCTATACTCAAAGCATATATGGCACGCGCACACGCACACGCACACACACACACACACACACACACAAACACACACACAAGCCCCTTATTTTGGCGCTTCAGCTTGTGCATGCCCTTTCATCACAGAAAACAAAGAAACATTACAACACATCAAGTGGGCTTCCCAACTATAATGACATGTTCATATACTGGCACCCGGCAATGCCATGGCAGAGTGAAATGTGGCTGTGAAAATTTTAGCAGGAGGAAACTCTTGACATGCCTGAATTTTCGAAATTTTTCCAAGTGATAACATGGGTTTATGCACATTATGCTCATGATTTCATTTGAGAATAAGTTCTCACCTCTACACCATGCATGGTGAGAACTCTCTTGGTGGGCTCTGGGGCCGGCTCCAAGCCGTCCTGGCTACCCTGGCTGGCACTCCGGCTCAGTTGGGATGTTACGCTGAGGCGAGACTCGCGCGACAGTGACTTTGTCAGTGCCAGGGGACTGCGTTGGGGGCTCACAGCTTCAAATGAAGGCTGCACACAAGAAACACTTTTCTGAATATGAAATGACCCTCTCACACGTGCACGTCACAAATGCTGTGCAGTTTGCTACAATTGTGAAGACTACTTTATTATATTTCAGTGCATAGGAAGCAACGCTTAGAAGGCAAGTGTGGCTTCTCTTAGTGATTTTTTTTTTTTTCAGCGAGCGCACCAGTTTCATACCATAGCTGCAGTCTCTTCCGATTAGGGTCAATGTTACAAGCTGTCTATTTGTGTGCTTGACCATTTTCAGTTTTCTCAAACGCACTTCCTGTTTCTAAGACGTCCGCCATAAACAACATAATAGATGTGGTTTTTACAGGGAGATCATTGTACAGGTGTGATGACTGAAATGTCCTTCAATTCGGCTACGCATCTCATCAGCATCAACATTCACTCTGTACCGCATTTACTCGCGTAATGAATGCATTCGCAAAATAAACACACCCCCAACTTAAGTCATCAAAACTTGGATTCCCCCCCCCCCCCCCCCCCCCCAGGTAATAAACGGGCCCCCTACAATTCATCCCCTGCAGTCCCGCTAACCGCTAACCGACACCTGGCGCCTCCTCACCTGTTGAATCTCTTCCGTTTCTGATTACTTTGCCACCCTCCCAAAACCACCTCCGCTTGCTCGCTCCCCCCACTTCGCCCATTAGGGTGTGCCCTATTGCTTTTCTTTATATCTGTAATAAATGCACCCCCTACATTGATCCCCTGCAGTCCTGCTAACCGACACCTGGTGCCTCCTTACCCGTTGGCTCTCTTCCGTTTTTTATTACTTTGCTGACCCCTTCAACCCCCTCCCCTGGCTCCTACCCCCCTCCTTTTCGCCAGTTGCTGTGTGCTTATTGCTTTTCTTACTATCTGTGCCGGGGCAGGTCCCCAGTCTTCACAAGCAGTGCAAGTGTAGACACATCACAGCTGATAAGCACACAGCCAGGGAAGGTCACACCATTGGTCGCTTCCTGTGACACCCCCCACCCCCCTTTCTTTTTTTAGCCTACTTTCTATTTTCTTCACTTTAACTGTCCCTTCACTCCCCATTCCCCCATGAGTGTACCCTTTTGGTTGCCCCTTGAGATCACAAGCAGATATCACTGCTGCGGCCACCCAAGATGAGTAAAATGCAACTAAGAAGCTGTTTCCATACAGTATATGTGTATGTGAATTGCCAAAGGCTAAGCGACCTCACTTTTTAAAGACAATAGTCTTTCTTGGGGACCTTCGACACAAAATTTTGGTCTGTCTGTCTGTAGATTTGTCTGCTTGTCCACTCTTTACGGCATCGGGTACTTGAAACGGCCGACCCCGCAGCGCCCACCTATGTTGCTCAAGATTGAGCGTTCATGCCTGTGCAATTGTCAATTAAATAGCAATTATTGCTCATGTCCGGGGCACCATAACAATACGTATATATTCTGCATGTGCGTCTCTTACTAGAAAAGGCATACAAAAGTAATTTTAAGGAACGTAGCGCTTATCACACTGCGCTGACCATGCAACGCTTGCACGGAAAGGCGAGTGTTTCCAACGCTTTGCTAAAACGAAACGGTGGTGGCACCTACCCGTCGCCTTGCGTTCTCCACCTTATCACCTCTGAGGTGGGCGCGCACACCCGTCTCAGAGTCACGCGCTTTGTTTTTTAAGACAAATGCCAGATGGCGCTTATGTCTCACACGTAACATGACTTGATGCGCTCGCTCGCCTTCCGCTGCACGCTCGAGGCACTCTAACGCAGCGCCTCCAGAATACCATTCACCGATTTTCTTGTGCAGAGCATCAAATAAATGTCTTGTTCACTCTCTCCACATGCAAGACTATCGTCTTTCGACATTTGCAGATTACATGCAGATACGGGGCCAATTTTTTTTACATTACCACATTTTTTCCTTCTCTCAAAAAGTTTTCATAAAGTTTACCCCGTGTAATGAACGCACCCCCCAACTTTGCTTTGATTTTTCAAGAAAAAAAGTGCGTTCATTACGGAGTAAATGATTTCAGCCAGTCAACTGCTGATTCAGCCAGTCAACTAGCTGTATCAACGGTGCAGCAAATTCCCTTTTATTAATGCTCGAAGCTGTAAACTGTGCCCTTTGTTCAAATAGCACTTGAGATCCCACGCAGTAGAATAGCACAGGCGACGAATGTGGAAATCATTTCAAGCAGGCAAATATATTTGCGGCCGTGGTGTTAGGTAGAAGGTGACGGCGACTTCAGGGCAAGCTCTGAATTCAGAGCTAATGCCAAATCACAACCGGTGGCTCAATAAACACGCGTGTTCAGAGACTCGACTAAAAGGCTGACTCTGTACACAGGTTGGTGGACCTGACTAAAAACCCATTTCTCAAGAAGGAAGAAAAAAAATCCTGCAGATTCCATGCCCTAGGTGAATCGCTATGTGCAAAGCATTAGTTACCCAGTAATATGAGACAGTGCATAAGGATGAGAAACGTATGCATACCTGCCAAGTTTGAGGATTCGGGATAAGGGAGAGGGAGCTTGTCACATTGTTTTATCCCCCTTTTTTTCCACCAAAAAAACAAACAAAAAAGACCACATAAAACGGGGGGTGGAGTCATGTTGATTTATTCCTTCCGCCCCCCCCCCCCCTTTTAGCATTGCAAAAAGGGGGGCGGGGTCATAAACATCAGCACTATGGTCTTATAACCACTTGGAGTGGCCAAACACATGAGGGTGGGCTTTCCACACTGCATTAGAAGGTGCAAGTCTCAAAGAAGGGCAAATTTACTCGTATCCCCCCAAAACTTCATGTCATCAAAACAACTAGCAAAATCCATTTCTGTCAAAGAGATTCGGTATGTCTTCCTGGGACACACAAGAACGGACGGGACGGCGCAGCCTGCTGCCGGGAAAGCGCGAGTCGAAGCTTCACTTGAGACGAGCTGAAACATAGTTACTAGATTTTTGGACAGGAACGTCAAAACGCTTTTAGCCTTTTTACGTCTTTATTGGCTTTAATAATCGCTGCGCTAGCTGTGTGCCCCTGGCTAGTAGCCGCTATTGATTATCACGCTGCCGCGTCCAACAGGCTTTATAAACGTTGGCCGGGACCGTGGTTTCCCGTGTAGAATTGCAGAAAACGGTAGTTCTGTTTCTGATCCACGTGTGCTGGCTGCACATGTGCCTTCAAAACCAAGTAGTTTTTTGTTGTCTATGATTGCATCCGCCACTGTTTTGTCCGCAGTGTTCGAGAAAAGCAACATCGCCTTGACTGGCCGAGCATTGAACGCACGTGCACTTTCAGATTTCTGTCAGTTACATCGCCACCATGCATGATGGTGTCTAGAGCAACCGCCGTTTTGTCCACAAACAATAGCCACAGTTCTGACAGTGTGGGCGCTGGCAGCGCGTGTCCTTCCGAAACTTCGAGCACTCTGATCTGTGCTTTCGTTTGACGGTTTTGGTACTAAGGTTCATACGACCAGCCGTGATGAGGAAAAGCGTTCGGAACACCTGAACCAATGGACGTTGTGGAGTTTGACTGGTGAATTTCATGAATTCGTATCTTCTGATATTGCATTTTTCACATTCTACTGTACATTTACATTAACGCCTCCTAAATTCATTTACAATAAAATGCAACGGATTCTCAGAAAGCCTGAATCAAAGTGGGCTGCTTTTTTGTCAATGCGGCCAGATCACCAAAAAAAATTTCAATTTCTGGGAAACTTTCCCGACAACTGTACAAATGTAAGAAATGGCCGAAATCCAGGAGTCTTCTAGAAAATCCGGGAGACTTTATGCATATGACAGAATTCAGGGAAAGACGCTTCCCTTAATATCATCAGCTACATCCTTTAACATGGGATATTTTCTCCATTGAGATGCACATAACTAGGAACTTACCTGTGGTGAGAGTAGCCGTGGTGAAGCTTCCTGGCTTGCGTCATCAATGCTGTCTTTTGGCTGCACATGATAATTTTTGCATCAGGAAGGTGACCATAGCAATACATACTGGCAATGCACATACAGTCAAACCTCCCTATAACAAAGTTGCATCTTACACGAAAATGAGTTCGTGATATCCGAAAATTCGTTATACTAAAGGTTTGTTCCTAACACTATATTCATTGATAATCGGTATTTAGTTATATATCTGGGTTAGTTATATCGAGGTTCGAGTGTAACTACAAGGCGCATGTGTTTTTGTAAGTATACTGAAAAACCAGTTACACATATATATATAGTCCCGTGACTACTCCACTCATCACTAGGCATGTAATGCCATAATAGAGTAGAACTCCAATGGTACGACTTTGAGGGGAATATGATGATGATAAATCAACTTTTATTGAATCCGACAATGTTGGTGGCGCTTGCAGGCACCAAACAGGGTGGTTCCCTAGTAACAAGACTTCTATGTTTCATGCAGTTCCTGGCCCTATCAGTCAGTGCAAGCTGTATCAGTAAGGCGGGACTGAATAGCGGGGCCAACCATTAAAAAAATGCCATAAAATTGAGAAACTAAGAATATAGGAGATGGCACTCAGTCTAGACCCCCAAAACAGTTGCATACCCCGTGAATAAACTCACTGCATGATCTTGTGCTGCTGCAATAAAGTTAGGTTAAATTATTTTTGAACATCTCAGCTAAGCATTTTTTTTTTCTGCAAATGAGTAGTTGAAGTGTGAGCGAATATTTATTCAAAACTTAAAATAATAAAAAAAACGAATGCCACACGCATTTTTTCCCCCGATAAACAGACCTCGGCCGGGGTACATCACACCATGACATCACCAGCGCACGTGCAAGAGGGCGAATTGCAAAACACCCCTTCTGGTTGCTGGACATGGTACAGTCGTGCGGTGCACTAGACAAGATTCTTTTTTTTTTCCTTTTTCAAAGCTTAATCTTATCTTACAGTGACAAGTTTTTTACGAGTAGTGTGCGTTGAAAGGCATTGAAAATATAGATTAACTACTACGGACAGTGAAACAGAGAATATATTGCGGGGTGTATGCAGTGTGAATAACGATGCATCTTGTTTGCGAAAACATCGGCAATCATTGTGGGCTGGGGGCAGCGACCAGTTGTCGATGGAACTTCACGATTCAATGTTTCAATCAAGGCAAGAATGCATCTGACGTGGTCATCTGCGAGTGGGTACATCACAGTGTTTCGCTGCGTGCAGAGAAAAAACAAAGGGGGGGGGGGGCATGATTTTTGGGTTGAAAGATACGACTATGCGTGAGCTACCAAGTATCAGCATAATTTAAAATTACTGAATCAGCATATACGCTTCGCCTCGATGAATATTGAAACCCAAACCCAATAAATGTATAACTCACATTATCAGAGACCTCATACGCCTTAATGGATGCAGCGGAGATTCTAGTTTATGATGAACTTCATACCTTTATGGCTCGATTTTTATGAGGTGAGAATTTGCATTACAAGTTTGTGAATCAGGTCTAAAGGTGCAATGTAGGTATGCAAGCACACTGTAGGCACCAAATGCAGTGAGGTAACTGTGCAAAATATTATGTATATAATTAGGTTATCGGGTTCAAAATTGCATGAATTTTTAGTGAGTTATGACAAACGCCAAAGAACTTAGCTTTCATTTTCCTGGGGATTATCTCACCTCAGCCAAAGCACGGCAAAAAGTGTTTCCTTTTGTTTTTTATTTTTTCACTCATCCCCAATCAGAATTGTGCGCAATGAGTGAAAATCTTATCCGTGACCTTGCACACAGCAGCTCAAGATTATGCTGCTACCAAGGATTCACCTCGTTTAAAACTGCATTGCACATGACGCACATTTACATCCCTGCCACACAAATAAACGCACCCCCAACTTCAGTCCCCGAAATTTGGATTTTTTTCCCCGCATAATAAATGCACCCCCTGCATATATTAGCTGAATTCCCACTAAACGACACATGCAGGCTCCTTGCTCGTCCGTATTTTATTATTATGCCGGCCCTTCTCAGTTGCTTCCTCCTCCCCTTCACCCACTGTCGCGCACTGCATTGTTTTTATTATTATCTGTACCTCGCACGTCCCGTCCTTTTTAATTATCTATGCACCACAGTGGGGTTCACAAATGGTGCGAATGTAGGGACATCGCAGCTGATAAGCAAACAGCGAGCGAAGGTCACGAAACAGCCCGCGCCAGCAAAAGGTCGCCAACCACATGCACGCGATTTCCGAGCGACGACAACAAGATTTGTTGTCGCCATGGCTATCGCAAAGAGCCATTCATGGCCATCGCATTGGAGGTTTCTGGAAAATCGGATAAAAATTGCTAGTCGGCCAGAAAAGATTGTGAGTGTCATTTCCACAACATGATAGCACCCCCCGATTCTCACTGCAATTCCAATTGCATGCTTGTTATCTGCGCGTACTTCAAAAAACGCACTTCTCATGTGGACTGCGAGGCGGCAGCCGTATTTTGTCGTTAATCTTGTTATCGACAGTTTGTTTTGATGCTTTTGTGGTTGCTTGTTACAATCTCAAACGGTGTCGTCGTGGTCGTTGTGCGTGCGAGGTTGCCATGAAGTTGGCAGGGTGCGTTGTAGCGCACGCTTCTGGGCGCCCCTCAAGATCCCAGAAGATACCACTGTTGCGGTTAAACGACTGTGAGAAAAGATAGCCGCGAAACACTTCTATGCCGTGTGTAGGCAGCGCAGGAAACGCTTGCAGGAGATAGTGCCATCTAACCACCGAAAACGAGTGAAATGCAACAAAGAAGCTCTTTCCAAACAGTGTATGCATATGTCAATTGCAAAAGAATAAGTGACTTAACATTTTTTCGCATTACAGTTAAACCCCTTTTATAAGAGGCATGCTCCGGGCAGCGATTCTTGTCTTTTATATGAGATGTCTCTTATAAGCAGGGTACATCGTATGGATTTTCTTATCGACCTGTACTTTACTGTATGCACAGTGTTGTCTCTTATACCCATTTGTCTTTTATATCAGTGTCTCTTTAAAGGGATTCGACTGTATCACATTTCTTGCTTATCCCCAAAAGGATTTCATAAAATTTGCCCCGCATAATAAATGCAGCCTCAACTTTTCTTTGATTTTTCGACAAAAAAAGTGCATTCATTACGCGTGTAAATAAAGTATTTCTGAATGGGCCATTGACTGCGAACACGCAGAACGTTTGCTCTAGAAGAGGATAAGATTTTTTTATGGCTGCCATCTACGACGAGGAAATGTTAACCACACGTTAACCTAGCAGAACCGTGCACTATAGGCAGCGACCCTTCTTTGCTGTGGCTTTAGAAAACAGCAATGCAAAAATTTCTGTCGAAGGAATGCAGACACACACTGCGCTGCTATGCAGCAACCAGCAGCTGCTCCAGAGGAGGGAATGCTCGGAGGGTGCTCACAGTGACGGCACACTGTTTTCAAACAGGGAGAGGTTTAATGAATATGAAAAGTGCATGCGCACGAAAATTAAATGAAAACTGCATTGGCAGCATTCTCCCGTTAGAAAAGTTAAATATGATGTCCTCACCATCACATAATGGTGACGACAGGGCACATTTTGGTACGAGTTTGCGTAGAATAAGTTTGTGTGCTACTGAACCGTCCACGTCATACTCCTTCACTTGCGAAATGCAAATCGTGATGTACTGCTGTCGTTTGAACGCTCACATCTAGGGAAAGTTGTTTTGCGATTTTGCAAGATGAAGACAGCTGCGCCGCGTTCTTTAGCGTGCTCGAAGTGTGTGAATACAACTGCCACAAACAAAGGAAGATCTCCCACTGAACGTTGACCTGAAAAATTTTCACAGACTGAAAACTCCAGAATATCCGAATCTCAAAGCTCACAGCTTTTCGACCAGCTGAAGCGGATCTGTGTAAATAGAGCTTGCCAAGGTAACATAGCCCTGGATATGCACATGATCGTGGAACACTCAGCAGTTATCTTAAAGCCAAGAAAACAGGATCACAGAAGCACATGAATTCTAGGAAAATAAGTTTCCCATTCTTGTAAGGCTACTGTCTTTCTCTCTATACTTTTCTGATTGACCTAGGGCACATATGTTTTAATTTTGCATGCATGAATAATTGGTCGGTTTTAGAATCGAGTAGAAAGAGTGACTTTTATTCTCTGGCAGCATCTGAAACGCGTCTTAAGATGCGGTCCTACACTAAATAGCGCCAGATAACCGATGTTCTTAATGCATTTTTACAGGGGTTCTGCCGGGACCTAAGTGGTTCGTCGTAACATGCGAGTTGTAACATGCGTAATATACGCGAAATAGCGAGATGTATTATCGTGATTCCACTGTATCTGAGAAAAAATAAATACAATGCCCTTGCAACATTTGTAAACTTTGCCCCCATTTAGTTTCGTACAGATATCCACAACGCATCAGCTACTGCCTCTCCTTTGTTTGAAACTGAGAACTGACAGAGCTAACGCTACACGAAAGTGTCTATCATGCTCACCAACAGATTTGTGGTAAAAAATAAGATGTCGAAGTTTTTCTCCAACTCTCACCGTAGGTAGAAGAGATTGCAGCCTGAACTTGACATGGGTCCCGGCGTTCCGGATCACCTCCACTGCTCGGTCGTGTGTCGCTTCTCGAAGGTCAATGCCATCCACCTGCACCAAAACCGAGAAACTCATGAGGCGCCCCGCTATGGCTCATAGGCCACATGTCATGTTGGCTACACCATTCTATTGTTGAATGTCAGATTGCAGCTTGAATCCCCACATACATTGATGACCTCATGTAGAAGCAGACCCGGGCATTTACGAAGATGCTAACACCGCTGCTGAACAACATTTTACTGAGCTACAGAGCTTCCATCGGTGCTCACCATCAATAATCGCTGTTGTGGCTGAAGGGGCTGAATTTGCTTTTCTTGAAAGCTTCAATGCTCGATTGATGAAAATGGATACCGAACAAGACGATGCGCAAAAGGCAAGACAAGTCTACCAACTATTTTAATGCAAAATAAAGTGCAGTAACTTGAAAAAGAAGTTGCCGCCTTTTCTTAAACATACTGTGAACGAATCGTCAAGTTAACGCTCATTATGATTTCTGAAAGCTATTTCGAGAGTATCAATGCAATATATAAGCCTTAGATACGTGTATTTCTTATGTTGAATTATCAATACATCAAACTATTTCGCGATCCCCTTCAAGTTCGGTATATCCAAGATCGACCATACTATTGTGAAACACCAATAATGCGACTTTGAGGGGACCACAAAAAACTGTCGTTAAATTAAAAAATTAAGAATATAGGTGGTGGTAGCATTAATAGAGCTGTAACATTAGTAGTAAATATATATCTGACCCCCCCCCCCCCCCCCTACCCCAAAAATGTGCCCTTCAATGTCAGGGTTGATTGACCCCAGCTAAATTACGTGCCGACTTAAGCGGCCAGCGTCGATACAAAACGGTGCTGCCGAGGAATTCCCTGCAAACTTTGTGGTAAACAAACAATGTGTACAAAAATATGGGTCGTTTGCTGATCCCTGTCAAGACACAGCGTGCAGAATCAAGGGCTACCGCCCCTAGCCAATCAAACTGTGCAGTTCCTAGCAGAACCAAGCAGTGCCTGCTATGAAAGCCCTCCTTGAATGTATCCCACAATAAAATAGAGAAGACTAGTGCATTTTCTCTGCTCTTGAACCCCAATTACCGGCAGCCCTCACACATTTTCATTTTCACATATTGTCATGTTCTATTGTAACAGGAACACACAGAATTCTGTACCAAGCAGCATGCCAGAATATCAGGATGGTCAGATTCCAGGTAGTACAAGCTCATCGTCTTCGTTGTGCGCTTTTCCTCTCCTTTTTTTTCCATGACACATACAAGCCTGCCAGCAATGACTGCAATACAAGCTTATGTTGTGCTCGTGGCAATTCCATTTTTCAAATAGCATAGAGCTGATGCTATGTCGCGATTACAGAAAAACTAACACATGTTTGTTACATGGCAATAATTTAACACACAAAAGGCATGGTAATGTTATAGATCTTGGCTTGATTTAGGAGTGTCAAGGTGACGCTGAAAGCAAAAATGCACCTACTGTGTCCATATAACTGCTATCACAATAAAACAAATACTGGTAACAAAGAGTTTCCTATAAATACACAGGAGCAAACTCTGGCACTGGTGTCTATGGGTGCTGCAATGCATGGCGTTTCAACAAGCATGGGAACGATGGGTAGTACACGGATTTGCCTATTTTTCGTACTTTCGGCTACGTTTTGCTTTGTGTGGCTTGAAGCTGCTTTGTCACGAAACAACAATCAGCGATAGTTTATCAGTTACACTTCACCACCTTAGTCTTCAGGTTTACCAATTTAAATCGGGTCATGAAGTTCAAAACAGTTTGTTTTTTTATTTGAAACAATACCAAAACACTGCAATAAATGAAGCCACGAGTGTGTTCGCAGCACGCAAACACGAAGAGTGGGCAAATCGATGTCCTACCCATCATTCCCATGGTCACTGAGCGATCACAGCATCACAGTCCCCTCTAGTTAAATGTAAAGAACTCTATGGCAGGTAAAACTTGGTGCCACTGACCTCAAGGATGCGATCGCCCCGGCCAAAGGCTCCCAGCCGGCCTGCCGGACTGTCCGGGAGCACGTTCTTGACAAAAATGCCCGAGACGCCGCTGCGGCTGTCGGCGGAGCTCCCTCCACCTTCCTGAGAGTGTCGGAAGAGGTCGACGTGGCCGCCCACAATGCTGATGCCCAGGTTGCGCTGCTGAGGCAGCTCACGCACCAGCTCGACCTCACGCTCAGGCCCCCACTGCTGTTGCAGGGGAGAGGAGAGGTGGTGCAGAGGGTGGACCGGCGGTGACAGCAGCGGCGAGGGCGTGCGCGCCGGCCACGAGGGCTGCGGTGAGGTGCTCGGGCTCGGCGTCGAGGTCACGCTCTGGCTGGATGGCACCAGCAGCTCTGCATAAGCAATTTATTGGGCAGTATAATCAGGATTATGAGAGAACGAGAATCGTTCAAAAAGCTAGATTATTTTTTCAATAGAACCAATGAAATAACCAACAGGCAATTAGGGGAGATGCAGGTTAAAAAACACGAGTTTTCTTAAAAATTATTGATTTTTTTTGCTTCCACCTGTGTTGATAAGTATAGTGATGATGATATATGGTGTTTTTTTGGCGCAAGGGCCATTTGATGGCCAAAGAGCGCCAGTTCATGCGACAAGGAATGTGGACAATGATTGTGATTAGCGGCTGTATAAAGGCCATAAAATTCCTCGCAGTAAGGCGGGTAAAAACATACAAGTAATAAAATCATGACCATGCCGTGAAAGGTGTGTGTGGTGTGAATAGATAACAAGAGTTGGTGATAATAAAAAACGATGGTGTATATGTATGGCATTAGCACAAGTGCCTCACTGGTTCATACCCTTGCGTGCAAGGGCCGTGAGGCAAGTGCTTTACTGTGTAGCCACCGCAGCAAGAAACCTCCCTGGAGAGGTCATGCTACGGGATGCCCGGGTATATGATATGAAAATTACGAATTTCTTTTTAAAAACGCTAACAATGATTTATGACTAAAAAGCGGTTCCCTACCAACGAACATTGCAGGGTGTAAAGGTATATGTTTGAAGTTTGAAGTTTGAAGTTTATTATTATTAACAGACTGGCGATACATAAAATGAAGAAGACGTTTTACAGACTAGGGTCCCATAGTCCGAAGACTGTAGGGGGACCCACGATGAAGAAAGCATGTAAACAAGTGCAAAGGCAAATGGCAAGACAATGTAATATTAACAAAACAATGCTATAAAGCAACTATAGAAAAATAACGAAGCGATAAAACATAGTAATAATCACAACTTCAACAAATACAATCGCTAAGTCAAAATGCAAAAAGGACAACATAGAATAATTTATAGTGATAGAAGATATAATTTCAAAGTTTTTTTGAATGTATACAAGTTGGATAGAGACTTTATATTTGGTGGAATAGAGTTCCATAATGAAATAGCTGTGAATGACAAAGACTTTATGCCGTAATTAGTGCAAACTCGGGGTAGTAATAAATTTCGCTCCAATGCGAAGCGAGTGCGGTTAGTGTTTATCAATAAGTCACAGTTGATGAGGTCGAAGGGTAGCCGACGGTGAATTATATTAAAGAACAAACAAGTACAATGAAATTCAAATAACCTACTAATACACAGAATATTGTATTGTCTAAGCAAAGAAATAGCGTTCGAACGACGAGGGCTGAAAGTGATAATGCGGATTGCTTGGTTCTGTATATGTTGTACAGATGAGATGTACGAGTGATAGGTGTTGGCCCAGGTAATTATGCCATAGTTAAAATGACTATGAATAAATGAGAAGTAGAGCGATAGTAATGCATTAGTGGAAAAATATGGCCTAGCTTTAATCAATGCACGAATACCAAAAGCAGTCTTTTTCTTTATGTCTAATAAGTGTAGACCAAAATTAAGGGTTATGTCTAAACGTACACCGAGAAAAGAAACAGTATCACAAGCATGGATAGTATTAGGACCCATAGTTATAGCAGCAGATGTTAACAAATGTTTATGAGCAGACCTGAAAACCATGAACTGAGTTTTAGAGGGGTTTATCGTTAGATCATTGTTGTTGCACCATAAAACTACATCGCTGAGTACAGAGTTTAGTTTTGATATTAAAGATGGAACTGTTTTGGCCTTACATGATACTGTGGTGTCGTCAGCGTACAAAACACAATGTGCAGAGCAAATGACGTCAGGGAGATCATTAATATAAATAATGAATAGGAGGGGGCCAAGAATGGACCCCTGCGGAACACCTTGATTGGTAATCTTAATGTTAGAGTAAGAGCCACCTGTAAAGACCACATTTTTTCGGTTAAACAGGTAACTTTTCAGAAAATTTAAAGCTGGTCCAGTAATACCATAAGAATCTAACTTATTGAAAAGAATGGAGTGATTGAGCGTGTCAAAGGCTTTAGTTAAATCCAAAAAGACTGAACCCGAGAAGTTACCAGTATCAATGGAATGTTTGATGAAGTCTGTCAAAGAAAGCAGAGCAAGGTTAGTGGAGCTTCCATGACGAAAACCAAACTGGGAAGGTTTTATAACATTAAATTTCGAAAGGTAAGAACTAAGACGCTTTACAAACAGTTGTTCAATTAGTTTACTTAATGATGGAAGAATAGAGATAGGCCTATAATTTTTAATATCATCTTTATCGCCTTTCTTGAAAATTGGTATAATTTTTGCACGCTTTAATGAGTCAGGAAAAGAACCTTTAGAAAAAATGAGATTGATTATATGGGTTAAGGGCTGAGAAATTATATGAGCCACCATCTTTAAATGGTGTGCACAAATGTTATCCAGACCGGGAGAAGTATTTTTAAGATTACGAATAGCTGATACTATTTCGTCAGAGGAAGAGGGAAAGAGAAAAAATGAGTGAGGTAAGCGCGGCAAACTAGGTGAAGGAACATTTTTTGAGGAATTGGATGACGAACAAAAATACTCAGAAAACGCATTAGCAATGTCGTCAGAGTGACAATAAGTAGCGTTATGGTGAATGATTTTCGTTATGGGCGAGTTAATTGTAGGCGAATTCAAGAATTCATTGAGCAGTTTCCACTGTTTTTTATGATTATTTTTGTTCTTTATAAATTCCTCATTATAATAGCGTTTCTTGGCAAGTTTTAGCAAAGAGTTAAGAGTATTACAGTAACTTTTATAGCGAAGTGCCAAGGCGATATTAAAGGGTTGTCTCTTAACTTTCCTATAGAGGTTATCCTTCTTTCTGAGACTGGTTAATAAGGCAGATGTCATCCAAGGGCTTTGAGGCTCTTGGTATTTCTTGTTATAAGCAATAGTGTGAGTACTAGAAGAAACAGCTTCTGAGAATAAAGAAGAAAATGTATCAACCGCTGATTGTGGATCAGCTTGCGAGCTAACTTTGGACCAGTCACAGTTTGAAATTGCACTGATGAAATTGTCTTTGTCAAATCGCAGTGCAGTAAAAATTGTGTTGATTTGAGTTATAGGGCTATCAAATGTGATGAAGATGGGATAATGATCGGTAATATCGACATCAACCACCCCGGACACTCTAGGATTAAAGTTACAAAAAGCATGATCCAAAAGAGTGTTAGAGCCACGTGGGTTGGATCTAGTGTACGAATCGATGAGGCACGTTAACCCGTACCCTAGAAGGCAATCATTATAGGCACTTGTAGTTCTTGAATGAGAATCTAATAGGTTAATGTTGATATCGCCTACCAACAATACATTTTTGTTCTCCATTGATAGAGTGTTCAGGACAGTCTCAAGAGCCGATAAGAACTGGATAAATGAGGAGGAAGGTGAGCGATAGATGCAAGCGAGTATTAAATTTTTTTGATTATGAGTAACCTGTGGCTGTTCAATTTCTATCCAAACTGATTCGCAATAGGGGATGGTAATATGAAGGTCCAATCTGCGAATATAATTAATGCCAGAAGAAATGAAAATGGCTGAGCCACCATAGTTGTCAGATGCACGATGACAGTATTCAGATTTGTACGACGTAAAACCATATAGATTAGCATCCACATCGGAAAGCCAGGTTTCTGATATACATATAAATGAAAAAGAGTGTCTGGTAGAGTGAATGAAACTATTAATGTTGTCGTGATTCCTTCGCAAGCTACGTGCATTGAAATGAACTAGAGAGCGTTGATTGTCAGATAGAAACGAAATAAATTCTTCAGCAGAAAAGGACATGATTGACAAGTACTCGTCAAGGACAAAAAAAAAAAAAAAAATTAGAAAAAGAGAGAGAGAGAGATAATTGTCCCTAGAATCGATAACACGCGACTTAGTTGAAAACCCGAAGGTCGTTCTCAGACTTTAAGATGAACACTTTGCTGCTGCTAGTCTGACGAGCCTTAATCTGGCAGTTGTCCGTCCATAAAAACTGCCAGCTCTTCTCCTTCTTAAGAGCTAGTGCCTTAGAAAACAAGCGTTTGTTCTCGACAGTAAGGTGATCATTAACGAACACAGCAGCATCAGTGGAACCAGAAAAGCCAATTTGGCCAGTACGTAGACGGGCTTTGCGAGCCCTACGAACAAACTCGCCTTTCTTCTCGCGGCAACAAAAGCGAGCGATAATGTTCTTCTCCTTAGACTTTGTGGCCACACGATGGACAACGTCCAAGTCAGAGGGAGAAACAGAGCAGCCGATGGCATTGCCAATGGTTTTCACGATTGCAAGGCAATCTTCATTTTGCGTGACCGGAACACCCTTTATCTCAACATTATTCAGTCGAGAATACTGTTCTAGATCAGCAACTTTTTTTTCCAACGCCTCATTTTTTGCGGAGAGTGCGCGGTTCGCAGTCACCAGCTCGTCCTGCCTCACCCTCATGTCATCAAAAACATCACTTAAGTGCTGAACACTTTCCGCCAGAGTTGCGCATTGATCAAGGCCGAGTTCATGTAGCTTGTTAGAACACTTAGAAACAAGGTCTGCAACCACACGTTCAAGCCTACCATCGAACAGACTTTCGAGCGCGTCTATTCGCTTAGCAAGCTCGGTATTAGTAGGCATAGTGCAGTATACAATGTAACAACTTGGCAAAAGCAGCAGTCACGGCTAAGAATTAAAAAGAAATAAGAAAAGACAACTTGAATACCACAAACCTGCACAAAGAATGCGTAGTTTTTAGATGCGAGTCAACCAGCCGTAACGCTGCTTGCCAAATGAAGACGAAGCACTTGCGACGTCCTTATATAGGCCTGAAGGGGCAGGCACCAAGCGCTGCTCGGTAACAGATCTCGTGGCAGCACGATAAATGCGGGCGTCGGATCTCGTCGATGAATTCAACGATAAAAACGCTGATTCGAAGAGCAGACTGCGCCGGCGCACTAAATCCTGTCGAAAACCACGCTGGCCCAGAAGAAACAGGCCGCTACGGCA